CCACCGGACAGGGCACCACGGCGGGCCTCAGCCCGTGGTGAATTTCAAAGAAGATCTGAAACCCACCTTTGTGTGACTGGGAGCACCTCTGCTCCAAGGACAAGTGCCCTACCACCCACAAAACATGGTGTGTTCTCAGCAGTGCTAAAGCCACACGTCCTGCAATGGGATGTGTCTCGTTCTGGCATCTGGGCGTTGGGAATACACCTTGCCCCTTGCTTCAGGTTGCAGTGTTGGCCGGCCTGGTCAACAGTGACTGCAGATGGTGTTTGTCTAAGAGGTGGCTGGCAACACTCACGGGGTGCCTGTGGTTTTGTCCTGGCTGCTCTGGGCAGCTGCCTGTGTCCCACAGATACCCAACATGTCTGTCTGTCCTGGTGCCAGCAGTGAAAAGACCAGGGCTGGGTGGTTTGTGAGAGCCCAGACTTCAAAATCTCAGAGGGTTTACCCTGTGAGAGCTGGGTGATTCGTACCAGCGGGGAGCAGCACCATGTCTCAGAAATATCTGTGGCTTCTTACACGGAGAAGACAGATGGACAGACAGAGAGCTCCTTCCCTTGAGGCTGGTGAGGCAGAGCCTCCCACCTGCATCACACCCAGCTGGAGATGGGAGACTGCCAGACGCCAGAAGCAGTTGCAGGCTGCTGCTTACCTGGGACGTGCTGCTACCTGGCAAAGGAAGGACCTTGGAGTGGGGCGTGCACAGGAGACTTTCAGAGCTGGGCTTTTTTTGTTTGTTTTTGGTAGCGTCTGAGTGAGAAAATAGAGTCTAATGGTGACGTCCCTGGAGGTGTCTTTGTGTTTTGTGTCGGTCAATTGCACAGTCATAGGTGAGACTCAGATCAGAGCTAAAGGGAAAGAAAAGCTAGCAATCATGAAATAGGATCTGAAAAGGTTTTTTCTTTTCTTTTTTTTTGATTTATTTTTCTGGGGCCTGTGCCCTTGTGTATGCCTTTGTAAGGATGATGTAGTCTGGAATGAGGTTTGTTTAATATGGTCTGGTTTTTTATCTTAGAAATATCAAGAACAGTAAATGTGGTGTGCCTGCTTTTTGGGGAATATTTGTGAAGGCACCTCAGCACATCATTGCCTCCACAGGAGAAATTCAGGATGCTGAGACCTGATGCCCAGTGCATAAAAAAAAACCTCTGGAGAAAAGCTTTGTTAAAAGGGCAGGTGACAGAGGAATCCCAAACCCAGTTTTGACTGATGCATGTTAGCACTGCCCTCTGTTACTCTTTCTGATGGTGAAATCCCTCACTGCTGTGTCTCTTCACCAGGGTCACCTTTTTTTCCCCCCATTGCCTCTGTAGTTTTCCAAGCTTGCTGAATTTCTAGAGCAAATCACCAAAACAAATAATCTTATGGGGAACAATATTCCCACAGCACCATTTCACTTTTAAGATGCAAACATCCCAGAGGGTGATCTGAATTTTTTTGGTCACCTTTTGCTAACAGAAACCAGCGTCCTTATATTTTTGTTTACAGCTGTCTGAGTGCTTATGGCTCTGGCTGGGGTCAAATGCAATGACTGGGGTCCCATACCTGTGTGGGGCAAATCCACAGCAGGGGCTGGAGACAGAAGCCCAGGTGGGCTGTGAGTGTGGAAAGTCTCCTGTGGTCCCAGCAGAGGGGAAGGCTGCCAGCACAGCCCTTGCTGGTGCAGAGGGATGCTGAAGAAGCTAGAAGTGGGTAGGATCAGGGCAGGGAGGGGTTACAAAGACCTGCCACAACACGCCCCTCCATGCCACTTCCTTGGTGTTTCCATTTAGTCAGTTGTTCTATCACCCAATGACACCACCCCCCACCTCAAAAACGGAAAGAAGGCTTGTGAGTTGAAAACAGATTTAATAAAACAATAATAAGCGTCCCCCCAAATATTAATGCTAATTTGAAGTACACAGAGCTATACTTGGCCCAGGCAGTGGTTGTGAGCTGTGCACTGTGAGCTATGGGTTCTTTACCCAGTGTGCAAAAACCCATCAACATGCGGAGTTTTGTTCCAGTTCTGGGCAGAAAAGGGTGCCAGGTGATAATCTGCAAAACCAGCACACCCCTTCAGAGGAACTGTAAGATTTTGTACAGCTTACGACAAAGAAAAGCTGCACAATACTTGTTCATTGGTTCCCTTTTGGTCATTTAAATAATGCTCTTTTGCTCATGCTCCAATTAGTGGCTAGTTCGTTATACCGAGGTGGTCTCACATTAGCCTGATAGGTCTCCACCCAGGGGTGTGATTTTTACCATGCTAATTAGTCGTAGGTTACTTTAGGTTACCCTCAGGCTGTGCTACTTCCCCCTTCCCCACCCCCCTGGTCAGGAGATGATTGAAATTCAGCCGTCCCTTTGTTATCTTGTGTTATCATACTGCTGTACTTTGAGGACCGTGGTTTCCACCTTGTGACTCTTTACTCCGAGGTCTACACCAGCAGTGAATACTAGATGCCAGGCACTGTGAGCATCAGAGCTCCAACGAAAGCCCAACGATCACAGCAAACATGGGAGCAGAAGCAGAATGACAAGTGAGACCCTCCAGGGATGGTAGCCATTGAGGAAAAGAGACCATCCCCAGAAAACTTTCCCATTTGTAGTAAGCATGACATTTATAGCATGGCATATTTCTGTTGGCCAGCTTGGGTCAGATGCCCTGGCTTTTGCTCCTTCTAGCTTTAGCACATGGCTAACTCAAAGCTGCTAGACCTCGGTCAGCATGGAGACCCACATAGCATGGCTGCCCACAAACAAAACCCAAGTGTCTTACCAAATTTGTTCTCAACAAATAGGTCTTTTTAAAAATGCAGCTTTCCCGAAGAGCAAATAGATTCTGTGATTCTAGCTCGGTGAAACCAGGACGCTGATGCACCCCCAAAAAGCAGGTTTTTTATCATCGAAATCAGCTGTGTGCCGTACCAGCCA